CCTCAGCACCAGCGATTCTTACTTACACCGGCGTCTTCGAGCCTGGTTGCGATGGGCAGTGCATACTGCATCTTTCAGATGACGTCGGCCAATGTCGCTTGGACGATGCAGAAATACCTCCAGCTCCATCACAAGTTTTTATCACGAGATCGGTATGTTGCTGCATGACGATAATTTCATCAGGAAGTTATGAGTGACTCCTTTCTTATGGGCTGATGGACCCTCAAAACATCGGCACACGATTTCTGTGAGTGGTTACGGCAACTCGGACTGTTTTACATTGGTCTCGGTCCTGCTTTTTGAATTAGACCGTTTCTTACTTCAGACTTACAGTGGCAGTAAATTAGAGCTGTTTGCACACAGTTTGAAGTAACAAGCGTCTCGTGCTGGAGAACAGAGATTTGAACTGCGAGAATCGATGTCGTGTTTGTGCTATTTTGGGCATCTCGGAGGCCATTTCGCTTTCCACAACGTGGTTCATGACACAGGCTGTGCTTCCTTTCATCAACTACGGGTACGCCTGACCGAAAAGCTGTATGCAAACAGCTGTAGACCGAGGGCCACCTTAAATCCGATGCGGATCGTCCTCAATCTGCTTGCTTTCAAGATTAATATTATTGTTTGAACGTTGAACGTTGAACTCCCTCAGTCAAAAGTCTGTAGCCCCGATTGAACTCGATTGAAAAGGCATGCGGTAAAAGACCCGTGTTGCCTGCGTATGGCGTTTTATCGTCAGACCAGATAGCTATAACTTCTGGGTTGCGCGAACTTGTTCGCGATCGAGAGATTGCGGATACTCAAAGTACATGGTGGGTCTTTTTTACCGCCTAGGGTTTTTTCTCAGGTTTCTGAGTCAGTGATAAGTACGTTTATTCGACCCGCACCTCACCTTAATGGGAGGGTGTAATGCTTAACAGTTTTCATTTGCTATATCCCAGATGCAGTGTGAAAGTAACGAGAAACGAGCAATTTCTGTTGATTTCCGGTAATTTGGAGAAATCAAGACATACCCAATGGGTCAGTACCTTCCTTATCGAGGTTGTCTACAACTCAGCATCGACCGTCCATCACGACCATCGTCCACTACCGCTAGATAGCGGACGAAATACTATGCAGTATAAAATGTCTGTACCACGCCCGTCCCTCTTTCACTGTGGACGCCTCCCATTGACTACAGTTTCCATTTCGCGATGCTGCCCACTTACCATGCGCCCTCAGCTGGTCCTCGGGAGCAATATCAGCCTCCGCACTGTCACATGGCACGTGCTTTTGCGGACTTCACTGGAGTTCCTGTCACGGTGAGTCACAGTGTCCCTTTGTTCGTCCTCTGAATCTTAGCTACGACTGGTCGTTTTGTTTTTGCTAGGTTGGCGATGTCATATTATCTGAATCAGAATCGATATCCAGAGAAATGCGTCCCCTGGAAGAGTTTGAGTCAATGGTAGCAGAGCAAATGGGGATGTCTAGGGCTGTCGACGAGGCTACAGTTCTCCTCGAGGCCAAAGCGTTGCGCAAGGCAGAATATTTACCGAAACTGGGGAGGCTCCATCGCCTCCGCCATCAATACGGTTGTGCTCGAGAGAGGCTTCAGGCGAAACTGGAAGTCTGTCCATCTCTCCCAGGTGTCAGTCCCAACCGCAGTGATTGTATTCGGTACTGATTGGCAGCATTTCAGTCTCCATACCCTGTCGATGGCTCTAGATTCTACGCTGTCCTTATTGGCATCAACGAGTATGCATCCTATCCACTGCAAGGATGCGTATCAGACGCTAAATTAATGGAGAAGTACCTGACTGAGGACCTCGGTGTACCTCGCAATCGCATCCAGCTACTTGCTGGATCCACGGAGCTTACATCTCCAGCAGATTCAATGAACCCTTCACGCGCCCACATAATCCATACGCTTCTCAGCATCATCGACAACTCTGAGATCTTACATGGCGACAACATCATCATCTACTACTCTGGACACGGTTCATGTTACCCGTTCGAAGGGGAAGACGGCGAGACCGAATATATCGAGGCAATCTGCCCCATCGACCGCGACATTGTTGGCGACGATGGCAAACCAGTCCCCGACATCAGTGACCGAGAGTTAAACACCGTCCTTGGGCAGATCTCTCGGGTTAAGGGCCATCGTATCACCGTCATTCTTGATTGTTGTCACGCGGGCGGTGTCAGTCGAGGTCTACCTGAGTCAGGAGCTCGAAGGTCTCCTCCAACCCAGCAGGCGACGTTAGAAGATATGCTCATCGCTGGGGACAAGATCCCGAGAGGGTATCCTGACTATCAATCCATCATATCGGAGGATTGGTGCCCAGATATGAGTTTCCACGTTGTACTAGCAGCTTGCAAGGACTGGCAGTTTGCGAAGGCAAAAGAGGTGAAAAGGGAAGATGGGACGGAGGGACATATTGGGATCTTCACAGACTCGCTTGTGCGTGCACTCCGGTCCGGCTACTACACGAGAGAGACAAAATACACTAATCTCGTTCATTACTTGGATCAGACGCCCGACCAGAAGCCGGTCGTTGCTGGAGAACATAGGAACGCCCGCATCTGGTATCAGGAATGAAGTTATGGGCCATCTGCTTCATTCACTTGTAAAATTTCCTACATTTTGCTTTGTCTATGCTTTACTTCGCTTTCTATATATTTTCTATACGTGGATGTAGACAGTACGAGGGAATTACAATTGTATCTATATCACTGCTATTCTTCATTTGTTCTTTGAACGTGTCCTTAGGGCTCGAAAGAATCCACGTCAATGTTTTGTATGGTGCGAGGTGCTTAGTCACTCTAGGTGGAACTGACACGACTTTGATACTATTTCTAGCCGCTGACTTTCCAGCAAGAGCACAGTGAGGCCTTCAAACCTGGCCCAATTCTCATTGGTAAGCCACGTAGTCGGATGATTTTATTGATTCTGATATGCGTGCGCAGATTTGCGATTTATTCAATAGTTTGAAGACAACCGTGCACGCTCAATGGGTTCTATGCATCCTTCGTATCGTCCGTTTAGTACATGCCAGTGATGTGGCATAAACGTAAGAGACTTGACTAAACGAGGCTCGCGGTCTGAATTGACGAGTTGATATCGTAGAACGTGCCGCTCGATGTACATAGTCCAACGTGACTTGTCTCCGAGGAATAGCATACAAATCTGTTGACGCTAGGTGCTGCACAGAAGGTATGTTAATCGCTTTCCAAGTTTGTGTTCGTCAGCCGAAACATTACGCCTCATTTGCTAGGCTCTTAATGATGACATCGTTCTCCTCAAATTTGACGACTTTTCTCGTACCATTGTCCATACCTCTTATCCGTCATCAGAAACGCACATACGTCCGACAGAGCCGTCACTATGCGTGTCATTTGCAAGAAGCCTGATGTCCCATATTTACGAACGGACTCGCCTGGCCCTCATCTTTGTCGAATTCGGCTGTCTGACCCTTCCTCACTCTAGAAAGAAGTACATATCAGGGGCGAACGCTATGCTGACCTGCAGTATTTATTTGCTCTGCCAGATCGGGGGCTTGTACTTTCCAGGAGGACCGCGGGCATGTGCTATAGAATAGACCGTTATATTTGTGCGGGAACCAAGACTAGTATTCAGGTGGACAAAAAGACAGAATAGGACTCATCGGCACCAAGGGGTAGTGCCGTGGGAGAGAAAGGATATTCAAGCTGATCGTGTGGTGTGTGAGCATCCAACTGCTTCCATTTGAATCCCTTGTTCACCCCTTCACCAGGACTTCGTCAATTCCAATCAACGCGTTGTTCGTAAAATCCGTCAGCTCCTCCAGAATTTTATAACCCTTTTTCCCAGTTTGGCTCTCATTATAATCGTCTCCCCAAGTTCTCGCGCATCTTGCCATGAGCGCCTTTGACGCCGCATTTACCAAGAGTCCCGAGAAACCAGCGATCAAGACTGGCGGGGTGCTTGGTTCTCGCTTCCGGCTTCAATATTAGTACCAACAGCAACGGCGTCTTCGAGTTTTACTCTGAAAGATGCATATGGTCTCTTCGGAAGACATCGCCCAACGCCTCCGGACGAGTAGAAGTCCTTCCGGTGACACCACAAGTTGCGATCCCGACATCTGCCCTATCTCGCCCAGCTAGCGCAGCCCGTCCTCTTCCACGTTACTGCATGGCCACTCTCTCATCAGGGAGTTAGGAGCGACCTATTTCTCGATGTCGGGCTGACAGACTTCTCAAGTTCCAGGGCCCGCTCACCCGCATCTCTGGTTCTCGTTCAATCGGGTTTTCGTTTGATTCGCGTGAAGTCCGTTTTAATGACGCAGGGTACAGTTGAGCTTGAAGATGGCGCATTTTGTGGTCAGGGATGGGTATCGACTACAGCGATGGAGGTTGCGGCGAAACACTGAGGGATCGTTCCCCTTTTGCAATGAGTCCTGGTCAGGATAATTTTGCATTGGCCGTCCCCTCAGACTGGCTGATAGCGGCGGTAAACGAGGTACGTTATGGGCTGTCTTCATATATTTCACTTTCTACGTATCATGGTTTTGGGAAACAGTTGTATTGAACGGAATATCAATACGTATGAGCCAAAGTCACAACAATATTACGAAGATTGAGCGGGTTAGGCTTGAAGCAAGAATAATCTCAAGTGATGTTCATAACTTCATCTCCAGGATTCATACCGGTTACCAGATGGGGTGGAAAAGCGGACCGTGAAAAACGTGCCAGAGGTTGAGTGTAGATTCAGCTAGGAGATCTGTGTTTCTTGTTGAGTCACTGTGTATAGCTGAAGGTCCAGGGCCCGGGTTTCAACACAAGCAAAGACTCGACAAGGGACTGGACATTTGATCTAAGATGATATATACGAATTCGAATGTCACCGGAATCACGATTAGAAGAATGGCAGATTTCGAAAAAGATAAGTGAATACTCAGCAGTGTCAGCAGTGAGTAGTGAGCATTGAAAAGGTAAAACGTAAGAAATTAACAAAATTCTAAAATATTCCCAGAAGTATTCAGCGACGACACCAGCAGGATTTGAACCTGCGCACTCAGAGAGTAACAGATGGATTATCTGAAGCAGAAATTCTAATCTGTCGCCTTAACCACTTGGCTATAGTGCCTCAGAAATGTGTTGTTGTATTGCATCTACATATATATACAAATTGGCCATCCACATTTATATTCTGGTGGCTAGTATGCCAATATTCATTCCCTAAACAGAAGTCAAAGATGGTGCTGTTTTGTGGCTTGTACCAACCCAGGGCCCCAGTTTTGGCCTGCAGTGTGGGACCCAAGTTCACGCTCCCCATTTCGGCTGGCTACGACTCCGGGAACTGTCGCTGGCAGTCTATCATCATCATTTGGGGATTTGCTTCTCGTACATGTAAACGGCATCCGGTTCCTACCCTGTACGGGGCGGGGCGTGCGCCCTTCCACAGATGTCCGACCACTAAATGACTCCCCCTCCCGAATGAGAATTCGACGTCTCCTCTTTCTCTGTGGCTTCTTTAGTAAGCGATGCTACGTTGGAATGGTCGGCGACAAAGATATCCGTTTCGACGCCGGTACGTCCTGACTTGGCTCTAGCAGTCGAACGCAGTGTATATCAAGCGGGCCGTGATGATATCAAAGACGGGAGAGGCGAAGTTAGTGGGCAGTCGCCAGTTCGCCAATCACTAGCCATGCTTTATAGTACCTGATTGGCGGATACGCAGGTCCTCGCCTGTCGCAGGCTCCACTTTGCTGGTCCCCCAAAGCGTGTGAATGTTAACGGTAATAAAGCATCGCGAGGTCAAGTGTCCACGCAGCAGTGTATGAGACAGGGAAGGTGTTGATACAGTACTGGATACAGTCTGGCCGGGCGAATACTTGCCATGTCTTAGCATTGTCAATCCGAAAAGCAGCGAGCATCTGGAACGCGAACTGTGAGCAACTGCCAGCGACGCACTAGGGCCCTGGCATCCACGAGCCATAAATCCTCTCTTCCCAGCGTTAACTTCCTCCTGGAATGGGCTATACGAGTACGAAGTATATCTTTTCAACGTCTAGACGCTCATGAGGATACCAAAGTAACTTAAGAAATGGGATCCTCGTACCATTGATGAATGGCATGTCCCTTTTGTGAGAATATTGAGGCTCACCACTCTTCCGCTTTGGCCAGCACCTCAGCATATTTTATCGAGTGAGCCGTATGCGATTACGCACACAGGCGTGAGAAGTAGAACCTCGCTTCGATCTAGTGGTCGTAGTCTGGTCTTCGGCATTAGATACCATGCGCCTTCGACTCCTTGGGCAAGAAAAATACAGTACAAGCACTACTTTGCTTGAATCCGCGTCTTATTTGCTCCTCGGTGCTGGTGCCGCTTCCACCATCGCAGCCGTATGATCCCAAAGTTTTTGCCTCTGCTCCTCATCCCCATAGTATCGTTTCTTTCCCATATCCTCGCCTCTGCTGCCGACTCTAAACGCGCCTGCGGTCTTTTGCAGGGTCCCGTGCCACATATACTCTGCGCAATCTCGTGGTGAGATCGTAAATGGATACATCAGACCCATGATGAGCGGTGCGGTGTATCGAAATATGGCGGAGGGGGATGCATAGAGATAGTTGGTGCGCACGGCTCCGGGGAAGGCGTGGATGAACGAATGGGAGGGGTGCCGCTGTGCGAAGGCCTGGATGTGCATTGATGAGTAGAGTTTGAATTACGAGAGATTGATACACACCTCGGACATCAAATCGAGGTATGTCGGTATTCTCAGGCCCACTTTGACGGCTGAATAACTCTTTTTCATATCGAGGTCATCCACGTCGATGCTCCCTCCATTTCCAGGTGCCATCACAGACACCACCTTGGAACCCTCGTCGTTCAACGAACCAAGTAAATCCTTGACAAACTTCCATTTCGCATAATAGGTGACCGCCATTTTCTTGTCCATTCCTTCCGTCGTTTCTTCCCTGCCCGCCGTGGTGAGATATCCAGTCGTCAGGACGAGAAAGTCGACCTTCTTTGCCCCGAGAAGCTTCTTGACCTCCTCTGTAGCACTGGCAACGTTGGACATGAGGCTGGCATCACACGAGACGAATTCTCGGATAGGTTTCGCTGATGAAGATGGATGAGGAAACGAGTCAATGATCTCCTGCGCAGCCTTGGCATTTCGTCCGACAATGATAACGTTGGCGTTCCCTTGGGTGTGAGAGGCGAGCGATTGGGCCATGGCTTGGCCGATTCCAGCAGTGCCCCCGAAGAAGACAGCGGTGGGTGCAGTCAGGGAGGAGAATATAGAGGCATTGGATGTTCGTATGCTGGCGATGGACATGATAGTGGTAATCGTTGCATTTGGTGGTGATGGTTAAGTATGTAATTTTTGCCGGCGACGTGACGCGTACTAATCTAGATCGCGTGTCCATTCGGCACGATGACCAAATCCGGCGTGATTTCCGACACGGAATAAATACACAAGGGGAAAGGGTGACGGCTGGAAAAGATCGCGCTGGAGAATGACCGTCGAATAACCTTGGGACCCGGTAAAGAGGATATTCAACCAATACCGGTGATTCGAGGACCTGGAAGCTCACTAACCAAGTAATTCCTGAGACCGGCAGGCCTGATCTTGACTCTAGAAGCTGGACTAACTTAACTTTTGAATGAGAATCAAAAATCTTTGACTTTTGAGCCTTGAATCTTCGCAATCAAGGATCAGATCTCATAAAATGAAATAAATAAATCTGCCACCTTTGTCGACACCAGCAAGATTTGAACCTGCGCACTCAAAGAGTAACAGATGAATCTCTATTATAATTCTAATCTGTCGCCTTAACTACTTGGCTATAGTGCCACACCTTGACCCTTAGTTATATTTTCAGACTCTGGGCTAGCTTAGTACTATATCGTGACAAAGTGGGATAGCCCGGTTTTGGACTCACCCTGGCACCGCAATTACACTCCGTGTTGATACCAATATGACACCGTCGGCTACCAATAGACCCCTTCCTGCGCAACGCCTCAGTTGCATTGAGCAGCACGGTCTGCTATCTGCAATATCTGTCTCGGTTTCGCGTGTCCCCATTACGTTGACTGCGAGTATGCCAGTGCTCATTGTGCTCTACTCGAACCTCACCAGGAGGACGAGGATTTTGAGGATAAGGAATGTGCTAGCGATTGGGATCGTAGTCAGGTGACAGAAATGAGACGAAATGAGATGGTGGTAGGTCGTTGTTCAAATGGTGACAAAAACGGTCCTCATTCCCAGCAGGCATTAAACCACCTTCTGTGCGTCCGGCATTCGGAAATATAACGTATGAAACTTGTACCTCCAGATAGCAGAAATAGAGGATGAGGCGAGCAACGAGAACTCCGAGTCAGCCGCTCCGTGCATTCACATTCCAGGATACATTGCTTCGGTCCTTCGTTGACTTCGAGGCATGCCTTCAAGTATCAGGGCTCAAATTCTGAACAAGATATCAAAACGCCAATGGAAACTTGATATGCCTCCAGCCAAAACGATCCTCCTGCTGAGTTGAAGTTGGATGTGCTAACCGTGACACTGAACGTTAATCCCAGCTAGCTTCATCCAACCTCCACCTTCTTCAAGGATCGATAACGCTCAAACCGTGCCTAGACCGGAAGATTGAGGAGTAATAATACCACGCAACAAACAAGACGAATGAATTCGTGACAAATCGAACCTGCACTTGGCTATGCCAGCAGGAGATCCATGTTAACAACAAGCAATTAGTAAGAACTCAACACTGGATGTAACTACCCATCGTTTCTAGTAGGACTCGATATTGCCCGTTCAATAGCGAAAGCTACGTTGACCAATGGGTGGTGTTTAGGGTTGAATATTTGTAAAATCATGCATGTAATGATGGCATTTCACCTCCAGGACTCAAAATTGGTATATCAGTCTGGTCAAATGGCTAAACGAAGCGGTGTATATATCTCATAGGGTGTGATGCATAAAAGAGATGATTAAAGTGTGAGCCAGAAAGGACAGAATGATGCGTCCGAATGATATTGTGTAGTAAAACTCAGTCTGGTACAAATTATAAGTTGAATATAGGCCCACGGCCGAGTACGTGCGTACGCAGACATGCTCTCTGAGATTGCAGGTGCTGATGCACCAGTAGCATTGTCGTCGATATGAAGTGAGTTGAGGGTCTGAAAACGGAGTAGGAGCCCATCGTCCAATATTGCTCGTCCAGTGTATTGGAGGTGCGGGCTTCAACGTCCTCATTGGTGGAATAAGAGGGACGCTGGTAGGACTCGGAGCCTGCGGTGAATCAGGGTGGGTCCATTGGTGCTCGCTTTAACGTCGTCTTGGTGTCGTCTATCATGTCGAAGGGATGGTAGTTGATGCTCAAAAGCGCGGGAGTCAGGACATGAGCATCAGTCTGCAGAAAGAAGAATGAGCGAGTGGATGGCATGGATGAAGTATCGTAGCTCTGCCAAAAGAAGAGACGGAACAACAGTTCCGCTAGGCTATCGGGAGTAGATTGTAGTAGCCTTTCAGTGATAGCATGCAGTCCGGCACTTTCGAAGAGCTGCCCGTCTCAAGGCAGCTAGCTGGGTTCTCGTTGCCGTAATCCCTCCAGGCCAAAGCGGGTGTGCTGGAGACGCAACAACACCTTGATCGGACAACCCGGAAGAACGTCATATTCGAGAGAGCTCTACCCTGAGGATGGGTATATACCACGCCGAAGCACAACCCAGCTAAGATCCTTTCCTTCTTCCGGCGCTGGTTTTTCTACCCAAGTATAATTCATTCGTCTGGTGTTCCAGTCGTAGGAGAAGAGGGAAAGAAAACAAAAGACACCCAGAAGGAGTTTATAGATCCCTGCACGAATTGAATACGTCAGGGCCGCACTCCCACTTGGTCGTGAAACGGTCGGAAGCATTGAAAACGGAGATAATGCCTCGAGTAGGGTCTACATTCAAGAAGCTTTGGAAAACGATATACTAATGAATGGATGCATGCGAGTCGGACCAAGGGTAAGGTAATGTTGTTAGATGCTATCCGCAGTTCGTTTGCCGAGGTACCTAGACCAGACGTCAGTACGGCGTAATCATAAAAGAATTCAGATGATGTCAGCTGCTTGCGGATACTGGTAATCGTCCTGGTGCTAACATTGAGCCTATAGAGTTCCGTAAATGACAAAGAAAGCAAGCAGATTCCATCTCTCTCTACGCCACCTTTCAGGCTGCATGGCCACTGTCATCTGATACAGCCAAGACTCTACGATCAAGTACCTTTGCACGTGGATCGTGATTACCGTTGGTGATTTCCCATGCTTGCATCTATTCTCAGATTCATCAATGACTGCATCTCCTTAACCGCTCTTGGCGAGTACGTTTGTGGAGGCGAAGTGCCGCCTCGAGGCTCGGAGGAGAATATTCTGTACCAAAAAGAGGGATGAAGAGATTGCTACCAGAAACCCCCAAGAGATATCTCCGTCACAGGCTGTCCTAGACTTTATACAAGCCAAGGTGCGTGAAATATCAAGGTTTGCTTATGATGCAATAAATTTGGGCATAAGGAGCAGTCCTCAATGTTTATATTGGATGACATGTCTGACGTGGCAATCAAGTTGAAATTACTAATAGCAGCCTGGTGCGATCATCGCCTTTCTTCTCACAATTGAATTGACTCCCAAGGTAGTTTCAACATCAATTCAACATCAATGCACTAGCATCCCTTTCGCTTTAATGCATTTCTAGGATCTTTTGACTCTGACGGTGGAGCAAAAAAAACTTAACTCGATGTCTGTGGCATGACGCTGACTAGCCTTAGATGTTTTTTTATTAGATTTCTCAAGATGACGGTCGAAAATATATCCACAGGCTCTGTCTTTTCAGAATTGGTGAAACAACCCCCGACACAACATGCAACCCATCCCGCAGGTTTTCCTATAGAAAGGCTGTAAGTTACTGACAGCAGCAGCCTAGAAGATCAAGGCTCCGATGTATAGAACGATGGAGAATGCCGTTTCCGAGGACATTGTATTCGACGCACAAGGGGGGACGATGTGATACTAATAGTAAGAAGATCTCCTGCGTGTATTGCTTCCAGGAATGTCAGTCTTCGCAGCCTAAGTTCAAGCTCGGTCTACACGTGTGGCCTAGGTGACCTCATAGAGCGACAATAGGTACTGCCAGTTGGGTGTCGATGGGAGGCACTGTTCGTTCAGCGTGTTAGTAATCGTCTAGGTGTAAACCTATATGCTCATCAGAAGCCTCTATAGAGTAACACGAACAACAAGTCACGTACCAAAGATTATGGTGCTGCACCGTGCTCTTGGACCTGCATGCCGGTCATCCATCACAGCAGCCTCGACACTTCAGGCCAAATCAAAGCACAATTTTCAATATTCCTCGCTGCTTCTTCGGGGTCAAAGAGAGGGGAAGAGTAGTGAGATAAGTTTGATTGGAGTGCCAAGAAAGAGGGGCCTGGCACAGCCCCTAGCTGAACCGCCAAAGTACTGCTGGAACAAACATATCTTTCTCTTCGTTGATTGGCATCGTATATACACCGACTTGTGAAATAAGAAGGGATCGCAGGTAGGAAGTAGGGTTCTTCTCCTTTCAGGCCCACTACACGAAACAGATGTGTACATCGCTTGAAGCATACTTTGCACATGGGAGATTGAATATCGGCAAGTTGCAACTTACTTTCCCATGCTTGCTTTTCCGATTCAATGAACTCTCACTCTCTTCCACCTCTCTTTGGCCTCTCTCGTTGGAATGCGTTTGAAACACCGTTTTGGAGGAGATTATTCTGCCCAAAAAAGATGGATGGGTTAAGAGATCACCACCAGAGACAACCCATCTCTAAAAGAGGCTGTCCTAGTTGAACATGTTTACTACATCTTTGATGGCCCCTCCTTGATCACTTTCGGCGAAACACTGTCTCGGAGGATGTCATTCTGCGCACAAGATGGATGAAGAGATTGATACCCCAGAGATGCCCCATCTCTGATGGAGGCTTTTATAAGACTTCTTTATACAGACAGAGGTGCTGTGAAATATCAAGATGGTTTTCTCTTGATGCAATGGGCATAGGAGGCCGTTTTAGATGCACCTCTTAGATGAGGACAGCTTGGTAGTAGCAACTCGGTGCGATGATCTTCACAATTGATTCCTGGGGTAGTTTCAATATCAATTCACCATCCGCTTTAACGTAATTCCGGGATCTCTTGATTCTGACGATGGCGTGAATCATGATATTGAACATAGTTGAAAGCTTAGAGCATCGCTTTATTTCAACTCTGTGTCCGTGGCCTGATACTGACCGGCTTTGGGTGTTTTTTTAGACTTCTCATGATAACGGTCGAATATAAATGTACAGGCTCTTTCTCTTCAGGATCGATAAAACAATCCCAGACACAACATGCAATCCGTCCCCGCAGGTTTTCCCATAGAAACGCTGTAAGCTACAATCTTGAAGTCAAGTAGTAGTATGTACTAAAGCTTCTCATTTCAGCTCTGGACCTGTGGTTTGTCGGATTGTACCTTCAGTATACTCAATATTCAACAAGGCCATTCAGATTGTCGGCTATCTCTTGCACTGGGGACTCTTCGGGACCCTTTCTGTGCAATTGTGTGCGTCGTGTAGATCAGGTCTCCGATAGAGTGTTTCTGACTAATTCTCATTAGATCTTTACTATCTAGCTTTTCCGAAGGACAGAAAATTTACCAAACACCTCGTCTATGGCATCTACATTATCGAGTTCGTTCAGACGATGCTCTTCACCCACGACGCTTTTGCGGTGTTCGGGTATGGCTTCGGTGACATCGAAGCCCTAACTAGAATGCATTTTAATTGGCTCACTATTCCCA